ACATACATACATACATACATACATACATACATACATACATACATACATACATACATACATACATACATACATACATACATACATACATACATACATACATACATACATACATACATACATACATACATACATACATACATACATACATACATACATACATACATACATACATACATACATACATACATACATACATACTGTGAGAGGCGTTAATCCTAACCAAGGACTAACCCAGAATCCACGTCTCACCCGTGTCCCGACTCTCTGGCACACCCGCGAAGCGGCTCGTTGTTTTCACAGGCAGCGCACTCATTCACCGTGCGCATGTGGCTTGAGCCAAAATAGGCACGCCACTCCAACTTCCTCAAGGTGGACATGTCAACTCGCAAGACATGTCCACTCATGCAACCTCAAGCAAAAATAGCTCACTTACCAAAGCCTAATGCCTATGGCTGCAATGACAAAATCATGCTCGAGAATGCCAAGATCTGCAGTCGCCCCCAGTTGCAGCCTCCAGCCGCGGCGGGGAATGCAACTCCAGAGCATTCTCATCCTTAATTGTGGGAACAGCCCCATTCTTCAAATTGCGGGGGCTCCCTATCCTATTCCACTGGGCAGTGGCCAATTCCTTATACCCTTCATCCGGCCCTGGACCTGGGCTCAGTACTGCTTCGGCTCGGCTCACCCGATCTTTCCAGCCTGGAGAGTTGCAGTCGCAGCTTCTCATTCTCAGTCTCCAGCGCCTTGTCTAGCAAGTGAACCAGCTTGCCGCTCCCATCGACGGCTAGCTTAATCCAGCTCACAAACTTCTCATTCTGCTTCTGGCTGAAGAAGACCTGATTCTGCATGGTGCCCAGCAAGGCCAAATAGTTACTGAAGAAGGCAGAATCCGAGTTGTCATACTTCTCCGCGTTGTATGCAGTGTGAATCTTATCCACGGTCTGGAAGACCTTGAGCGCCAAAGCGCTATCCACAGCGCCTCGCCCGGAAAGATTGAACACAGCCGCGTTAAGCCTGGAAAGGTGGTCAGATCGCAACGATCCCGGGGGTTTCGATTCCTTACGAATGTCGTTGAGCACCTGTTGCAAATACAACACAGCTCCCTCCGAAGTTGCCAACGGACTCGAGAAATCGTCCCTGACCAAACCTGAACTCTGCCCGCGAGCGTCATCCCGCTCCGCACTGGCCACTCTCGGTTGCTTATTCCTACTCCCGGTACCCAGCTCCTTAGCCTTACTCACTAGGCCTTGAAGGCAACCGACTTCGACATATTCACTCCTAGATGGAGCCGAACGCGACCTTAGCGAAAATCCCGGACTGGTCACTTCATCAAGAATGGGGACCGCCTGGAGGGTTTCTCCGGCGCCCCCAGCCCGATCCTCGCCTATCGTCGACGCCACACCGCCGGTCAGCGGCTGGTCGGCCCATCGCTGCCTGGCCACGATAATGTGCTGGCATTCCGTACCCAGGTCAATGAACGCTTTGCAGGTACACTTCATAACATTCCGTCCCAAGACCAACTCCTCTGTCACAAAGACATGACCCGTCCTTGTCATGAATTTCTTGGTCCTCTGGCCTTCCCCAAGCATATTGCCGTGAAGTCGGTGCATGGCTTTGTTCCTACACTTGCGGGATACTGTCCAACCACACCACGTCATGAAAACAACGAACATGCTCATCAAGGTAGCCCGCAGGAACAGCCCCATAGTCTCCACAAGAGCAACTCCCTGCGAACCCATTTTGTCGACTAAGAGGACCGTGTTGACCGAAACACTCCCCATGACATCTTCCACAACATTGTCAATCTGGACCACACCTTTGTAACCAAGAGGGATGAGGGCAAGCATGGTTCCCCAATAAACGAGGTTCAATTGGTTGCCATGCTCAGCATGGGCCTTCTTGTTCCGGCCTTTCCGGCTCGAGAAACCAGGCCTCCGCACTTTCTTTCTGCTGCGCTTCTTGCGGTCGCCTTTGCCAGGATGCCGTCGCCCGCCCCTCTTTTTGGGCTTGCGACTGAACTGGCGAAATACATCCTCATCCTCTGTCACGACATCATCCGAGCTGTCCTGCTCGCATGTGCCCTCTCGAGCACGGCTGCACTTATAGCACGTCAGCCGTGCTTTGACGTTCCTTCCGCCACATTGGCGGCAGTCCCAACCGCGGCCTGCAGCAAGCTCTTCCAAAGCTTCGGCCCGCGCGGACTCTCGATGCCGCCTCCCGGTGCTCCAAACATGTTCACCTGCTGGTCCTCGGCCGCTCGCGCTGGCCGACTCAGGATGTGGCCGAATGTCATCATCTTCGTCCACATTGGAGCGCCGCATGACACTCACTCTCTTCGTATTGCGGGACCAAGGAAATCGACCCGGCACTCGACCCGGCCATGACTCTCCCGGACCGAAAACTCCTCCCGGTCTCCTCCATGGCGGAGTGGCCTTCGGTTTCACCACAGCTCTCACCGGTTCCACCGGCCTGGACCGACTACTTGATCGGCTCCTGCTCT